CCAGAAGGCAGGCACTGTGGAGACGCTCCTGGCCGTTGCTGGCGCCGAGGTCACCGAGAAGGAAATGGACGATACGATAGCGCGCAGCATGAGACTGTACGAGCAGAGGTCTGGAATACTTGGATGGGCTCAGGCGTTCGAAGATCTTCGTGAGGCCATGAGGGGCAGGTGGCACTCCAACAGCGTGGCAGACTACAAGGGCTATGGCAAGCCTGGCTCATACATGCATGCCTCCCGCCAGAAGAAGACTCCGGTATGAAGGCCCAGGGAGGCTATGTTGGTACGTGAGTTGTCTTGATCTGAGAAACAACGAATTGACAAAACGCAGGCGCCTCATCCCTTTTGACTGAAGGTCCACCGCGCGGACAACATGACTGCTATACCTCTTACTCGGCCATCGTCTTCATCTATCTCTCATGGCTCGTCTTCGTCGTCGCTCAGTCTTTTGTTCTCTACTCACGCCTCGGCCTCGTGTGGAGAAACACGAAGAAAGATCGCTACATTCTCTACATGATCACTACTAACTCGGTCATCTTTGGCCGAGAGCCACGCCTACCTTCCGATCGCGACTTCCCATAACACCCTCATCGATGCGAAGGATATGGAACAACAGCCAGGGCGACACTTCGAAGGAAGCCAAGTAGGAAGGAGGCCGGCGCGTAGGGCAAGGGGCAGTTAGACCAGCGCAAGGAGATCAGCCTGCGCGCTGTCTCCGGTAGTAGAAGTGGCAGCATACAATTGCTCAGCAGATCAATACAGCACAGTACATATCATGATGTCTCCTCCAAGCTCGACATGATGATTGACGACGTGAATGTTACACAACCTCACCAGCATCAAGCTGCGCGACAGGCTGGCAGACTGAGCATTTTTCTAGATGCCGTGAGACCACTGGGTCAGATCTGCCGGACAAGTCAGGTCAAAAAGCGCTGACAAGCTGGAAGCCATCCTCAGTGACGCGTCAAACACCAGTAGCCGGTGTCACGACCGTCGCAGCCTCATCAAAACAAGTGACGGGGCTTACCAAGCGAGTGAGGGACTCAGAAATGGCACGAGCTCAATGTTTGTGCCCGCTCTGGCCAGTCCTTCACCCCCACGAGACTGGCCATGAAATCTTCTGCCCCACTATACCCGCAGATATCACTTGACCATATAATACAACTAATGGATCTACATTTCACCATCCGGGGCAAGGATGTGTACTCTGTACCGTAGTTAGGCCCACCATCACTAGGATGGTGCAGGTAGATAGTTGCTTCTTCTGTTTATCATCAAGACTTCCGCTAACATATCCAGGTCCTCCACACGACAGTGTCCAGGCACTATAAAGTTATGAATACAGGTTTTTTTGCTAATTCGATTCACTGGAGTAGCAAACTGGTTGAGACAAACTGTTCTTTTTGGTTCTGTCTTTTCCCTGACAAGGTGCGGCGGGGGTGCGGAGATTGGCTAGGTGACAGTGCGGAGAATGACGCGTTCCCCATCACAACATTGGCTCGATTTGCTCGTACAACGACCAGGAGAGCTTCTGCACGTTCTATTGTGGCTTGCAGGCAGTCTCATAGTGTTTGTCTAAGTGTTATACCAAGGTTTTTGCTCGGTGACACCATCTCCCGAAGTTGCACTTCACTGCCTTTGCTGCGCATCACTCCGCGTCTGCTCAGTCAGAACGCTTACGAGATGCCTTCTACTCTATTCTTACAACGTTATCTGGGGCCTGCAGCATCTCCCCTACATTCATCCATCCTGCTGCTGTAAAACGCCGACAAAGAGCTCCAAGGTGTTCGCTGGCGATAGTAGTCGACATTAACCAGATGTGATCGCGACGAGCGCATTGTGTCTTTTCAGCGTCGACTTTTGCTTCATGCAGATTCCTAGAATGCAGACTATCTGCTCCAGCATTGCTAGCTTTGTGACGCGACGTAGCAAAGCGGACATCTTGCAACTCCCGCCCTGACCTGCCTTCCCTTTTGGGCTCGCATAATGATTCCCTTCAATGAGACTTGTTTGAGAAGTATGAGAGCATAGTATTAGTACTGCGAGCCGAGAAGAGTGTTGGCTGTCAGCACTGTCTCCTTCTGCGCATACACGAAGGCAGGCACGGAGCAACGTAAAGATATGAATGTAGGTAGCGCTGTATTTGCGCTCCTGGACTGCACTATCATGTAACTGTTGAGCTGGCGATGCTCTTTGATAGCGCTTTTGACCTCCTCAAAGCCTGCACGTTCGACTATTCAGATGAACGCTTACGGCGCCCCTGAAGTGACTCCTGACGTGAGATCTCTATTCATGTGCTATTAATCTTGGATTAAGATGCAATTAGGCTAGGGCAGAGACAGTCGTTGGTGCGTTTGTCAGTCCGGCGGAGGAGTATCGGGGGGCTAGCGCGAGACCAAAACACCAGCCTCAATATCTCTGCTTCACCACTGACGAGCGCCGCCCACCCCGCCCTCACCCCGTCTCCAGAATTACTCTCTATCCGGAGCACTCCATCTCCAAAGGCCTCCTCATCAATACCTTCCCCGTCGTACCCGCACACGACAAGCAAATCCAAGCCAACATGGACATCCAGCAAGCGCGGCAGCCAGACCCGAGCTTCGCTCGTACAACAGCGCTCATGGTCAGCATATTCTCCATGACCACAGAAGCGGTCGATCAGCGCAAGCTTCTGAGCGCGAGGGAAGTGGGCGGTCAGCTACATCTGCGCTTCCGCCTCAAATGGGATATCAGTCCCGGAATTCTCGCTCGAGAGCGAAGGTCCGTGACAGACGAGAGCTTCAAAGCATTCAAGTCGCACAACTACTGCGTCTTTGCGTGCAAGCTCCTAGCGGGTCTTTTGGCTTGGCTAGTCGAGGGTGAGTAGTATTTCGATTGTTTACAAGAGATTCTCACCACTAACAAACTGTGACGCAGAACTACGCCTTCCAATCGATGTCGAAGAGGTGGAGATACACGGGGTTTACGAGATCAAACCCGTCGTCTGTATCGAGAGCTCGACCGGCAGGAGAAGGCGGATCGCCCAAAAACACACGGTGTTCAAAATCACCTCCCCCAACGATCACGGAGAGGGCGTCTACATCGACCCGTCAGCGCCCCAGTACCTACGACCCGCGGGCGTATACCCCGTCAGGGGATACCCTGCATACCCGGACGAGGAAGTGAGAGTGCCGATAGAGTTCTTCTCTTTGGGATACAATTACTCCCAACACCTCAACAGCGTTCACGAGAACGAAGCCAGTTCGTTACGTTCCCGCACCCTGCGCATAGAATTCCGAACCGAAGCGATCGTGCGAACGGTCAACAATCGGGTATATCAGAAGATGACTGGCTGCGCATGGAAAGACGTCATCAGGAGCGGCAATGATGACAAGTGGGGTGCTCTGGAGCATGACATCCTGAGCTCCGTCAAGGCGGATCTCGACGTCCTGGTGAACTACCTCGACAACAAGTACATCCCGGGCAATCTCAACAGGAACACACACTGGAAAGCCCTGGCTAAATCATGCATGGGTACCGGTCATGCGAAGGTCATGGAGTCTCTGGAGCGAGCGTCGGGACTCGAGGTGACGAGGCATCAACTTTCTTAGGTAGCTTCTTTGCGCGCGGGCAAAGACCAATTAAATCATTACACCGCAACTCATTGACCCGTGCTTACAATCACCATTGATGGGTTCCACAAGCTCATACGAGTCCAAGTATCCTCTAAATTATTTTGCGTGATTCCAGCTACGCAATGTTGAGATGTCTTGCTGGCTGAATTTCAGCCTTGGCGTAGCCGACGATTGAACATGTGCACGCCTAACACAGCGGTTCTCGTATACTATTCACGCGGTACACTGATATCATGTAGATGGAACAGCTTCTGAGGCTGACGATGAGCTTCCGCAGCATGAAACCCGGCATGTATTGTCCTCTGCAGAGTACAGATGGTCTACGGACATGCCGGCGAGCAACTGATAGGGCAGCTAGCCAAAGACTATGTGTCTTCTCTATCCCCAACAAGCTTGAGCAGCATCCCGGGCCCTTTGCGTCGCTTTCTCACGTACATAGTCTTCTCGATCGCTAGTCGCCATGCCCTCCAGCATCGCCCAGTCGAAGCTCTGCAGCATCTCGCGCAAGCTGATCCCGATTTTGTGCCAATATCCCTGGCAAAACTCTTTGTGGTCTTCCAGACTCATATCTCTGTGGTACAAGTCGAATTTGTAGTCCTTATTATCGGTGTAATGATGCCAAAACTTGTCGCCGTTTATAATCGCGATTGTCGCTGGCCACCCGAATTGCTCTGCTGTGCCATCAAAGATGATCTCGGATTCGTCTTGCTTGCGGATGACAAGAATAGAATGGCGCATCGAGATCTTTTCGTTGCGGATGTGGAGGACTTGGGTCGGCCTTGGATTCTCGAGTACGGCATAATCGACGTTGACGTCGTATGCTGTAGGAATGAGGTTAATTACTAGGACCCGGCGTCGAAGCTACGATCAGGAAGTTTACAGTGTAGTCGCGTCTCGACCTCGTCGTAGAAGATCGTGCAAAAGGTGTCACACAGGTTCAGCTTCTTGTAAGAGATCTCGAGCGCTTCTGAGGTCCCTACGGGCACTTGGCCGTGGCTCTGGCGATCGAGTGTTACCAGTATATGGTTGTTGCCAAGGTCGCTGACGCCGAAAGAAGTGACAGAGATTGGGCGAAATGCGGCCACGGCGGCGTTGAATGCGATGAGGAAGAGTTTAAGGACCTCCTCGATCGTGAGTCTGGCTGTTGAAGGTGCGCTGGAAGAAGACATTGTCGGCGTTGCTCAGGGATCGGTTCTGTGCGGACAAGTCGTTGGCGGTGACAGTGACTGGAGTGAGAAAGTGAGACAGTTGGACCCTTCTTTTCGCTCCGCTCGTGCACCGTCTCCTCTGAACGACATTTTGGACACAAACCCCGCTATCCCCTTCCCAGATCGCGCGATATCTCTCACCTCCGCGACACCCATAACACTTTCCGGCCGCCGTCAGACTATGCGCTCTCGCACACTCGAAACGGACCCCGAACCGCAGGACGCAATGGCAGACCATCCAGGGGTTCCTGTCCGCTTCGAAGATGGCAGATACCGCAGCGTCCGCACTCACGTCGAGGAGAGGGCGGACAGGGATCTGTATCGCGTCGACCGCATCATCAACCGCCTGTTTCTCGAATTCAGCGACGCGACGAACCGCTTGTCGGTCATGTATGAGGTTGCCGACGAGAGCGGAAGTTCACTCTGCATAGGAGTGCGCAATATCGAAGGCCATCCAGGCGAGGTATCAGTACTGGAGAACCAAACCTTTTCCCTCAAGGCAAGACATGCCTATCTGTCACACAACAAGTGTGTCTCTGTTCTGGAGGCCTTCGCCCCGACAGTGGCTTTCTTCACCGAAGGTTTGTGCCCGCCATCACATCCCGCGAGACCCAAATTAAGGCTAACCTCTTCAGGTCTTACACCTTCGATAGAAGCACACGAAGCCCATATCGATCACGTCGAGCCCGACCAAGAGGTAGAGGTCGCCTACTGGCAGGAGGAAGGCTCGGGACCGGCTATGCTCAGACTACCCGTCGCCGCTTGGCACTCCATGTTCAGGATCACACCGACCGACGAATACAACCTCTGTCGACCAGAGAAGCCCGCCCGGTTGAACTGTACCGGAACGTACCTTGACCCCACAGCGGCTCAGTACGGTCGTGACCAGGGGCTCAGAGACGCAGGTGTCTATCATACCCTTAGCCCGGAATCCAAGACACTATCCTTCACGAGCCTCGGCTACCATTACTACGAATGCCAATCGGAGGAGGAGAAGGATGTTGGACGTACACCGATTCGCGCTCTAGAAACGGAGGCATACATTCGGACAATGGACAACGCCATACACAAGGTCGTCGAGGATGTCGGTGGCCGCGCAGAGCTCTTCGACATGTCGCCTACAAACTTTGAAGCCATATTGGAGTTAATGGCCACTCAAGCTCGGTCAGATCTTCTCGATGTTGCTGAGCAGCTATATTTCCTCGACTATACTCGAACTCAAGACATAGAAGAGGGAAGCTCTGGAGATATCAACAGGTATCAGGCGGTCGCTGATGGATGCATGGGCGCAGGCCACAGGAGGTTCCTGCGAGCCTTGAGAGATCGAGTTCCTCGTTCGTGGAAGTGCGAGGACGACTTCTCGGGTTGTGTTTACGTGGTCGAAGGCAAGGACAGCGAAGGATGACGGCCTGCAGCCGCAGCCGGTGAAATGGCTCAGTCGAAATATGTCAGGGCATAACAATGATCCCAATTTCCTGAAACCTGCATCTTTTCATGCAATAGTCTCAATCGTGATGTCTTTTAATCGCAATCGTCGAGCCTCTCTCCGCTGTGTTGAGGTTTGGTGAAGTCGTCTTAGCGTAGTACTAACGCCACATCGGTCAATTTCGCCCCACCAAGATGTCGTGAGATCGCAACTTCCAGACATCATGTATGAATTGCACAGTCCTGTATCGGCAGAGCTTGTCGCGCGATGCAGGCCGATGCATATAGAAAATGACACTCTCGTGGAGTATCGCAGCTGCAAGGGGACATTAAGCCCTCGCCCGACCCCAGCCGTTCGAAGTCAGCAAGTCCTTCGAACGGCCTGCCTTCTCGTGATTTACACAGCGTGCTCCTCTTCATCTATCGCCAGCTGCCGCTATTACTACAGTTTCCAGGGGCGTCATCGAATATAGCTGCTCGACTGTATCACGTTTTGTCTACTGCATGCGGCACGTCTTCTGTGCCATTGGTGGTGCCAACAACTTCAAGAGTCTTCTCGCTGCCGTTCTGCAAGACTCTGCGTGCCGCATGCTTACTATGTCTCTGCCGAGAATCTCGGATACTAGATATAGAATACGCCAAATTGCTCATGTGCTATTAAGCCACGGCATTAGGCGGCGCGGCATGTGTGTGGTAATGCAGTCAGTCGCGCCCGATTAGCCCTCGTGAGCAAAAAAACAAGAAGCCCGACCTAATGTCGAGCATGCGCGGATTCGAACGCGGGAGCAAAGAGTTCGGTGCCCCCAATTGGGGGCACCTACATCTCTCCTAGTTTCACGAGTTAGTGGAACAATGACGAATATTTGCAAATATATAGCCAACAAAGCCGGAAGAGACATGTCCAACATGATATGCTGACCCGAATCCGTGGAGTCCCGTTTACGGGCCCTTCAAGGAACAAAAAGGAAGTGAACCGCAATGTGCGCAAAGCCAGTGACACGCGGTGAAAACATTCTTCTGCGCCCAACGGAAACTGCGGAGCCGAGGTGAAGGGGCGGGCAAAAAGCGAGCCCTTTGACTTATTGTTTGCCTCCAGGAAGAGTCGAACGCGGGAGCAAAAAAATAAGATGTGAATACGGAACCAGCAAAAGGTTCGGTGCCCGCGGCACCTACATCCTTTCCTATGACCACTAGTTAGTGAGATAGCGACGATTTACTTTAATTATATATCCAACGGACTTTAGTTGGTTCGTGTGCCTTCAAGATTTTGGATTTGTGGCTTCACTGTTGGTGGGCGGGCGATCGGGCGGGCGCAGGACATCGCGCTCCTTCACCCAGCAACGTCGAATGCGAGTCGATTGTTCGAATTTCGTTCTCCATCAGCCGACGAGAAGGTCGTGTTACTGGTGTTGGCTAGTCGTCTTCCAACCCCTGAGTGAGCGTAGGAGAACACATTCAAGGGCATTGACGAGGCTTGTACATGGCCCCGTTCGTTTGTGCAATATGTACGAACAAGAGACTGATCGGCACTTATGATCGTGTGCTGCTCGTGGCTTCCTTTGACCTCATGTAGATGGCATGTGATCGGCTGCAATGTCTGGACTTTGCAGTGCTATCCACCAGCTTCTGTTGTATCAATGGCACGACTATGCGAATAGTACTCAATGACACCGCCGAGCGACATGCGTCATAGTGCAGCTTGTATAGCATGGCCGCAGACATGCGCCCATCCTCAAATGAATGAACCCAGACTCTGGGGTAAACAGCAGCCAACGAGACTGGTACTGCCAGATAATGCCATCGAAACTCTGTGCTGGGAAGGAAGTAGATTCAACAGGACATCATGATCACACGTGCATGTCTCAAGCTTGACGTGCTCCAGTAACCGCAGCCTTCTAGACTTAGCGGCACATGCGGTCGGTGCAATCTTTACTTGCAGGTTGAGTGCAGCCTTGTCAACGTCTTACGGATGTCGACTTGGCCAGCCACGATCATTGATGCGTTGCGGTCATCATCCAGTCTGAGACAAGGGATAGCCTTTAGCAAGCGCACTGAGACGTCCCCCGATGTAGACTTTGGTATGATCTCAGCTGTGCTGCAGTACCGAGCGTCTCCGTGCCTAGCGAGGGCAGGCATAGGCGCTGTACGCAGTCGGTCGATTTGATGTTCGCAACTTGAGGCGAGGGTGTTGGGGCCTCAGCTCTATGTCCGCAACTTCATCGACGACTCCGCCACCACCCCCGCAACCAACACCACGACGCAAACCACATCACCCCGAAACGACGAAATGAGCATCCGAATGGCTTGCGGCGACGTCGCGATGAGTCTGACAGAATCCAGGATAGCGAAAATTGCACCTGAGGGCGCTCTGCCGACGAAGGGCATGCGATACGAAGCAACTTCCCCGTCTGCGCTCCAGCGCTCACGCGAGGGCAGCACCGATATATGAACCGTCTTTCATCGCAGCACTGTAAGTTCATCTCCTCCTGGGTGTGTTACTTGTTGCCTCCTGCGGAGGTGGCGGATCGAGAGAGAACCGTTCAGTCGCGGCTTTGACGCCTCCGAGTCGGCGGCGGGGTAGATTTCAACAGACCCATTGTGCTGCTTGACAACTGACATCTTCCTTCTTTAGAGGCAGCGACAGAGATGGGCCGCATCAACTCAGTCTGCCACTCCAGGCCATCGCTGGCCTGCCGCTGCGGCTGGTTCACGTCTGCATCACCTCCGCGGCACCGCACCCTCAACACCGAACACATTCGCGCCAACACGACGAACACGAGGAACGACTCGACGCACATCGCTCTCCGGTAGGCGGTCTTGATGGCTGTCGCCCTGTCGGCAAGTGGCTATGCATACGCACACAACCGCAGGCGACTGTGGCGGTGGCGGCGCCGCCTCTGGGGAATGCTGCGGCCGCCGTGACTGGCACATTCGGACAGCTCACGAACTCCTCATTCTTGCGAAGCAGCGTAGCAGCGTAGCAGTCCAGGAGGTCTCGATCTTGTTTCTTGTCCCAGTGCGCAGAGTAAAGCCGCTGGCTCCCAGAAAGGACAAAGAAGGCAACAGACTACAGTTTCTGCGACATAGCGACTGGAGCGACAGCAGGCAAAGAGAACCCTCTTGCCTTAGTAACAGCAGGCCGCCGAGGACTGAGACTGTTCGCATTGGAAGCCGTTGCGCCGCGAACGCCGACCTGCGTCCGCCGCTGAGCTCCCCGCAGAGAAAGACGGAACCACAAGTACCCTTGCGACAGCAGAACAGGCGATCGGTCCGGATGCGTCGGGATAAGGAACACCACGCTCAAGGCAGCCTGCATGTTTGCTCATGCTGGTCTCAACATGGTATGAAGTTCTGTGCCCGCCTCACCCAGCGCCGTTATCTTGAATACACACTGACAGGTAGCCAGGGGCCTCCACCGCTGACGACCGCATCACAACGTTGTCGCCTTGGCCGGCATACAACTTTGAACGCGCCGCCCTTCGCATACGAACGAACGTCGATCGCTTGCCTCAGCCGCCTCTCACGCATACAAGGAGGATTCCAGACACGTCTCTGGCGTACGGATATGCGAGGGTACAACAAGACATGGCAGACTCGGCAGCAGTCGAGAGCGTCGTGCGGAACCCAGGTTGCGAATGTGAAAGCTTTTGGTGCGATTTGGCGGGTGGACGCATAACAAATCATCCTCCGTAAGGCTCAGCTGGCTGGCCGGTCTTCAATGGCAATGGCGGATGGACACGATAGGCAGTCTTGAAGGGAAGCACTGAAGACGCCTCATCTCATTGCCGTGTCAGACGGGGACAAGACAATGAGACGGCGACCAGACGGGGTACGATACACACCTGGCCAAGCTTGAATGCGGTGCCGTAATGGCGGCCATGGGATTAGTCCTGCTCTAGGCTCCTTGCAGCAGCGCAACCGGCTGCGAAGACGAGCCTGAGGCGGCACAGTGTCGGCGACTGGTCAAATCTGCCGCAGTCTGCATCCGGGATGGGACTTTCTCTGAACGCTCATCGCGCCCTGCGACCAAACCGCTCCCAACTCCTTGCTCTTCTCGAACCGCAGTCCGGGTCTTTCATGTCGGAGAAAGGGACAGCGGTTGCTTGCCTGATAGTCTGCGAGACGCGAGATGGAATGACGATGAATGGACCATCTGGCAAAAGATCTGAGAAGCAAAAGTGCCGGAGGCATACCGAAGACTAGACAGGAACAAAGAAAAGAGATGGGAAGATGTGACTGATGGTCATGGATGTTCAAGAAGATGAGGATCGTTGAGAAGGAGATGGAAGGAGGTTTGACGCGCATGTGGCAATGTCGGAAGTTGCCCTGGTGGGGCCTGCCGTCTTCATCCGTCGCGGCGAGCGCCGCGGACGAAAACAAAAAGGAACCAAGGAGCAATACTTACAGCCCCCAGCTCGATGCAATGACAAGATGCCCTGGCATCATCGGGCAGTATGCAGAGATGTCTTCGCTATCTCAAGACAGGGTATGACGTCGCTGACGTGCGGCTTCTCAAAGCCTCCTCAGGTACAGGCTACCGCGCCATGGCCATCTTGGGTGATCTGGCACCAGTCATCGCTATCGTCTGCTAGGGCACCATCCTATGGTACCTGGCACATATTGTTCGACTACAAGTCAACGCGCCAGTAGCACGACCAACTCGTCACAAGAGTAGTTCGGTATATTCGCTGTCGTATCACTCGAGACTTGCAGGAATCTCGTTCACAGCCAGGCCACATTACCATGTCTGCTACCTCGTTGGCGACGGCGAGACGCTCTACGCTCTGTGCACTGCACGCAATACTCACGAGCTCCAAATGCCTCTGCGGCGGGAACTTCATACATGGCGATGCGAGTGGCCTCCAAGATGCCAACCGGGGATATTAGGGCGGCACCATCAAACCTGGGGCATCTACGCTTAACTCGTTGTCGATCGGTATTCGCAAGGCTGCGAAAACCCAATCTGAAAGCCGGTACACG